GACTGAAAAATTTCATTTTTTCTGAAAAGGTGGTGTCTATTTACTTGTGACCACGCTGTGTATGTAGTAATGTAAAAATAACCAATTTTAAAGAAAATCTCACCTGTAATCTCCTGTTTAAGATTTTCTGACCACCCTCAGTCCCATAAGATGCTTCATAGGGAAAACTCCAATCTCTGACCAAAAACATAAGTTTCTAAAAGAAATATAGCAAAATAAATACATACAGATTTTAGAAAACAACTACTCTTCATAAATTTCCTGCACACATTATATCAAATATTCTTACTTTTTGTGCTGCTTGCCTATAACATTGTTAATTACAGAAAAACAGCTTGGAATTCCACCATCTTCAAGAACATGGCATTTGACTCATGAAGTTTCCAAAATGCAAGCATATGTTCTTTCTTTAAAGCATTGATACAAGTTAAAATGTCTGAAATATAACTGAAGCAAAAGAATGCAAAGAAATGTAGAGAAAATACTTGATATTAATACACAAAGTGCAGAAGTTCTTTAGAAATTACTTTCATGATTTAGTATTATTAAGAGTTAAGCACATTTCTTCAGAATAATGTATCAAGTCTGAGGTCATTCTCAGAACTACTTCATCAATCACTAGTTGTGTTTAAACTGATGGCCATGATGTAGCACTGTCATTCAACACCACAATTGCATTATCACAAGTTTTGCTAAAGACAAAAATATGGTTATTCATAGTCCATAAACCTTGACAAGTTTAGCACACACTCTCTACTGATCATGACATCATATTACAAGACCATGTTTAAGTGGATAGAAGTCACAATAGTCCATTGGAGCTATACTAGGAGACTTTACAGGTATGTGGTTGAAAAGGATGGCTCTAATTCCAGTTTCTTTAGCCATCTTTCTCAGGATAATAGTCAGATTTAGAAGTGTGGCTAGAATCCTATTAATGTTCGGCTGATGAGCCTTCACCATATTCAAATTCTTATTTACTGTTTTGCTAATGGTAGCAAGAGATATACCCAGCTTTACTGCAATGACTCATTGGGTCAGAGGATTCTCTTTCATAACCACAGCTTTTGTTTCATAGATAACAGGGTGCTACAGAATGATTAGGGATGTTGTTTCAGAGCCTGTTGTTGTTGTCCAAAATGCTCTAAGGTGCAAGATTTTCAACTTTCATGAGGAAATTCAAAATGTTGTCTTACAATATGAATGCCCTTCCACAGAAAGGTCCATTACATAATCCATTAAGCCATAAACTATCCACTGTGGCATTGCACTGTCAAATGGTGATAAATTTACTTCAAAACAAATACATAGGTAACAAATATGTCTATCAAGGTGCTGTAGTTCACATCAATAGCAACACACTACTGCATTAGGACATGAAAGTCTATCTTATAAAGCACGTAAATATAACCTATAAAATTATTACCAAAAGAATTTATTATAGGTGTATTCGTTAAACATTTCTGGAAATATTTAGATGACTTTGCTTTTGTCATATAATGTTGGTACATTTAGATACAAGTAACTTAAACCAACACACACACACACACACACACACACAAAAAACAATACTGTTCATTAATCAAGTACTAACTTGAAATGGTTTCTCACTTGTGTCTTCTAGTGCTAGTCTTCCATATTCAGTAAATAGCTGAAAAGATCACAAACATTCACAAATATATTCCTAAATTTATTAAAATGTGCTTGTATAATTAAAAAGGCAATGTTTCTTCTTCAATTTAATAGTAATCCAATACAAAAATGGTTAAGGAAAAATATTTTCATCTGCTTCATTATAAATGTTCACACTAATATTTAATTTTTTTTAGTCCTTCTAGAAAGAAACTGGATAACAAATTCTCTTTTGTTCTGTTATAGCTGTTTATGAATAATGATAAAAAGAAATTACATTGTAAACTGCTAGTGACATGATTAACTTATACAATGATTTGAAAAAAGCTTTACTGAACCTAGTTTAAAGTACCCATAATTCAACTTTTCAAAAATACATTTCCTGTTCATAAAAATTCGTTTCATTCTTCTAGCTCTCAGAAGTTAAAATTTTCCTACACTGAAAATATATCTCAGTGAGGTACTGCCCTCTATGTGAAAAATTTTTCACATGGCACAAGCCTTGAAACTCCCACCTACCCCACGATCACCGTAGTTCACTACAACTTCACATGTAAATCATCATGAGTGCAACACACCTGACTCCCTCTACTGGATTTTACCTAACCATCACTTCGAGATTAGGCAGAAATTAAACACTGGTTTTAAATGAGGCGGAAGGGTGGAAAGTGCGAGAGGAGGTAAGTACCTATCGTAAGTTATTATTTTCAAAATATACCTTACCTATCACACATAATAGCTAGAATCCCACATTGAAAAGGTGGAGGGACTGATGCAAGGAATATAGATAAGCATCCTTCGAAAGTGTCTGAAGAACACCCATGGTGTGTGAACTCCCGTTAGGAGAGGGATGCATATGGTTGACAGCACCACTTCTGTATACCCCGTATACTCTTCACCTATTGTGGTAGTAGGTGTCAGATAAACTGGCAGAGAGTGGGAAGAGCACATCCTACAAAAAAAGAGAAAAAATCTGGTGTCCTGACCCAAATCTCATTGAAATCACCAGAATCATAGTCCAGGATAAGAATGAATGTAGAGTTCCAAGCTACAGATTGGATGGTGGGGAAAACTAAAATGCATATGCCCCTTGGTGTAGAGAGGCTAGGGCATGACAGATCAACTCCAGTCCAAAACCAAGAGGCATAGGGAACACGTAATCCATTTCATGGTAGAAAGGTCCATACCATCTTCACCTCAAGTTGAGTTGAACGGAAGGAGAAAAATTCCATACTAGTCGACTAAACAGGGCACATGTGTGCAAATTCACAATCAACAACAGTCATCTGGGAATCCGACTTCCAAATGATGGCAGGAAGGGATGTACCAATGTGGTAGATCACTTCAAATCGAAAACCAATTGGACCAGTTCCACTCAGTGTAATATCTGCCTGAGGTAGTGAACCCCCTTGAGGTGGAACAACAGATGGACATAGGATGACCAGCCGTCACTTCAAGCAACTACAGAGCTGAGGTGAATTGAACCAGATCCGTGCAACATCAACCTCCAAGACCCACCACATGGAGGTGGAGTGCTGGAGTCAAAAATCCGTGAACAAGGTAGGGTGAGGAATCACAACCAACACATGTGAGGATTTATGCTGATTTGTCCAACTCCAATAAAAAACCACTAAATGGGAACTGATATTCAGTTGATGGTAGGCTGAGGGATCCCAATCGGAGGGGTGAATTACAATGTGATAAATCTACTCTAATTCATGTAATATAGAATTGTGAAATATGCACATCATCATCCCCCAGACAGGACCACACAGAAGCTGGAGTGCATGGACTCGCAACATCAACTTCTGGGACCCGTCACAAGGAGATGGAGCACATGAATGGAGGATCTACACCATCTACCTGGCAGAACACCACCACCTTACTCTCTACTGAATGGAAGTGATCACATTCAGGAGGTTGTCTCCATGATCCACACCACCCCTGTGGCTAGGAACTGGAAAGTAGTAAGGACTCTCATACTCCACTAGAAGAAATTTGGAGGAGAAAATTTGGTAGAGAGTACAGAGGAATACAGACACTGGAGACAGGGCAATGAGTGATCATCAAAACCTTATTTTCAAAAGAGACCTCTCCTGATTTATTCAATCATAGGGAAAGCATGTACGGTCAACAATCCCCTTTTGCTTTATCCATGAAAGTCCATGGGCTAGTACGGTCACAAATGTGCATGTGGATGGAGCAAAATACTGACAAAAAAAAAAAACATACTAGCGATCATGTGGAACACTCCATCTTGACAGTGTGTGTTATTGACCATGAGTATATATATCAAGATTGGAGAGATTAACTTCCATCTGAAGACAACTTTGTTGGGATGTCCCATACAACCATTGCCATTGAGGTGGGGCATCAGGAATAGCTGTGTGCAGCCCATGCAACATCATCCTCTGGATAGGACCACACAGAGGCTGGAGAGCATGTATCACAGTCCGCGAGATGATCAGAACACGGACTGCACAACATTAACCTCTGGGACCCATCACATGGAGATGGAGTGACCGAGTCATTAGGCAGCAGATAATATACCCTGGTATGACTTATGGCTGGCCATACAGTGCATATTTCTGGAATGGATAGATAAGCAGTATATCTGGACAGGCAATGCTCTTCACTGAGCAGGTTCCTAGACCTAAAGGGGACATGCCACTGTAAGCAAAAGCAATATACAGAAAAAGATAACTTACCAAATCACAGTCAAACCTATGTTTGAAGGATGGTAACAGGCAAAAGGCAGTACCCCTACAAGGAAGAAACAGCTACCCGATGAAGGTAGTGGGAGATGAATGAATGAGGTGTGATCACATACCTGACCGAAGCATTTCCTTCAATGGACAATGGAGGTGAGATGCTAGGGAAAAGGTAAGGTGCCATATTGGATGCACTAAAACCTGAAACAAATTACAGGAAGGAGGAGATAGGGAAGAATACACTAGTCTAAAAACCGATGAACCCAACCTGTAAAGGTGGAAGGAGAAAGGTCACGTAAGGAAGAAATGTACCAGAGAATGAAAAGGTAGGATCAGGAAAAATGGAAGGAGATCGTACAGACAATATAACAATAAAAAGCATGGATGGGACATACAAATCTACTTAAATCAGACCAAAAATAAAGGTGGTAAATTAGCATGAATGAAGAACTTCCTTCACAAGCCACCAAAGTTTTTAGCAGGAAACAACAAACTGAATAAAGGAGGGCATATGTAGAATGGAATAGAGTACATGAAACGTCGATGATAAAGGTATCAGACCACCGATGCCCACAGTCTGAAAGGAGTAGGAAATAAGTCTTAAGGGCCAGATAATACAGGGAACAGGAGGACAAAGTTTCAAATGGAGAAAGTGTGAGACAGTGAAGGACAATATTGACATTCCAATCCGGAAAAACAATTTGATGAGAATCTGGAAGGAATGCAATAAAAAGGGGATTGAAGGAGAGGAAAACACAACATGGTACATGGAAAAACAGAAGGTGATGGACAAGGTTCTCGATAACTTGCAAAGGAAGATACAAAAGCCCCATGGTCAAACAGCCAGATAAGAAAATCTGTTAGGAGAGGAATAGTAGTGTGAAAAAGGGAAACCCCATGGCTTAATGACCAATGGCAGAAGATGTTCCATGTATGTTGACAAACCACAAGGGAGGAATGGTGAATGGACCAGGCTGAAAAGGAAGTGACATGCACAGACAATCTGGATCTCCTCACAATGGACCAGATAAATGCCAAGAGTGAAGTCGGAGGATGTGAATGGCAGGATGAAGGACTGATGAATGAGGTTGACAGAGGAGGGATGGGGTGAGAGTAATGGGGAGAGGGGTATTTTTGGAGCTGAAGGAGAAGAGGAAACCAAGGTTATGCCAGCCAGTAAGGAGTAATCAGATGGACCAAATACAGAATGGAATGGATGACTGAAATCATCCTGGGAAGGAGGTGGATAGGAGGGTAGGCATAAAAGTACCAGCTGGTCCAGTCCTGACTTGAAGCATCCACTGCTAGGGCCTGTGGATGAGGAACCAGAGACCAAAAAAAAGAGGTAACTTGGTGTTGAGAAGTGGCAAAAGCATCCAGATAAGAAATACCCCACTGTTAGCAAGGCCACCAAAAAATCTGAGAATTGAGGAACCCCTCTGTGGGGTAAATATAATTGAATCAAGAAAGACAATCTACCAAAGCACCCGGAACATGACACGCTAAGAGATGTATTTGCAGTGTGTGGGCCCAATAAAGTAATTCAATATTATATTACAAACGAAACAAGAACGGGTGCCTCTTTGGCAATTGAAGTAAGAGCCAATGGTGGAATTGTCTTAATGGATCATGATAGGTCTGTTCCATACAACAGGAAGAAAATGGTCCAAAGCATGTCATACCATCAGAAGCTCCAAGATATCAATATGGTATGACATTTTTATCTGACACCACTGTACAGAAGCCTCCTACTGATCAACCCCTGCCCCCCCCCCACAACCCTGGGAAAGAAGCATTGGTGAATAGATGCAAGTCCAGACGAGGAGGAAGCAGTACCCCTGTTGTAATGCTGTATCTGTTCAACTTTAACCCCCAATGGAGATCATCGAGGAGAAGAGGAGGAAGAGTAATTGGGGAGTCCAGGTGACCCCAAGCAAGATTCCATTGCATGTGCAATGTCCACAGAAGAAAACCCATATGTACACAACCCAAGAGAATAAGGGCTACCATGGAAGCTCAATTCCCCTTAAAGCATTAAAACAATGTGTGCAGATAGATAGGGAGAAGAAAGAGCATGGAGAACTGAAATATCCACTGAATGCAGAAAGTTGGGCCCAATTGAGGTAAGTGTTGAAAAACACACCCAAGTGGACAAGATATTGGGTAGAAATCAGGAAAGACTTCTCCATCTTGAGAATCCAACCAACACGAGCTGCTTCTGTCAATAGCAGACAAGTGTGTTGAGAAGACACCAGTTCAAAAGGAGTGACAGAAGCGAGTTTTCCATGTGATTGTGAAAGTGTAACCCTCGAGCAAGCATAAGTCAGCCAAAGGTTTAGACCATTCAACAAAACACATACAGTGCTGAAGCAAGCCCAAAAGGTAAAACATGAAACTGAAATACAATCCTGTTGTGGACAAACTGAAGATAGTGTTGGGACAGATGAGAAATGGGAATATGGAGGTAAGTGTCTGAGATGTCCACCTAGGTGATCCATGAACCTGGAAAAAAAGCCCACCGAAGCATGAGAAAAGATTCAATGGTAAGGTAAAATGGGGAAGATCCAGAAATTGGTTGAGGTGGGACAGAGCAATCACAGGATGCCAGTACCCGGGCTTCTTGGGATGACAAAAAACCTGGAGTAAAAACCTGCAGAAGGCTGGCTGACAGGCAAGATAGCATGCTGTGAGATAAGAGTCACCGGAACTGCTGGTGGCAAAGAGTATAACTGTGAGTCCAACGACAGACCAACGTACCCTTGGAAGCAAAGGCTGGGAGGGTGACGGATGATAATCAGGTATAGAGTAAGGCATGGCAGGCTGAGACAAATGAGCAACCATGGAAGAAAGGGTTGAGTGTTGCCTTGCAGGTTCCATACCTGACTCCAAAGATTCATGAATAACTCCCAAAAAATACCTATGGAGAAAAAGAGCCATCCACAAATCACAAAGATAAGTGTAGAAGAGACGTAAGGTGAAGACGAAGGCATGATAACTGGGCTTTGGATAAATGTACAGGATTCACAGGATCTGCCCATAACAAGAAAAAAAAATGACTCCAACTGCTGGAAGTCAAAAAATGATCAAAGGCCTGATAAGTACGCCAATGCATAATAATCAGAAGCCTATGGTGAACGAAAAAGCCTGTTGGTGGAAGGTTGTTGCATGATGATTTACATGCGAAGATACAGTGAACCATGTTGATCATGGGTAGGTAGAAATTTCAAGGCTTGTGGCAGGTGAAAAACTTTTGCACATAGGGTACTGTTTCGGAAAATGTCTATTTGTAACTAGGCATGCCTGCTCATTATGTTTTTTGACTAGGCTTACTTTATCAATGGAGTATTTGAATGCAAACTTACTTGCAAATGTTGTAAATCATCTTCCTGAATATTTTGAGAAAGATTATACACCTGAAAATATGAAAAATAAAAGGTTACAAATATTATAATTACTTACAGAACTTACATTATAATAAGAAATATTAAACTAACAAGTTGCTACACATAAATGATATATGGTAAGTAAACAAGTTTGCCTGCATCAAGAACATAAGGCTAATTATAATTCATAATCCATGACAAAGTTAACACCAAATTGCCACTGTGCATAGACATCAGCTTCCAAGATCACATTTAAGCAGAACGAAATAACAACAGTCCACTAAAGCTAAATCAGGACTTCACAGGTATATAGTTAATCTCTAAACATGGGCTCAGTCAAATTGCCCGACCACTTGATCTCTTTGTACTCGTTTAACCCTTTCTCCACCGGTACCATTTACTGCGCATGACACAAGGTTTTAGTGTCTTACATTCAAAATTTTATTAAACTACTTTTAGTTTATGTTATACCAATTAGAATAGCATAAAATTTTAGCTAATAATCCATATTTTAATAGTATACAAGTTTTAAGTTCTTAATTCTACAAGGAAATATATAAAACAATCCTGAATTTCCACTAGTGTAACACATGACACATTTTGTCTTAGCATGTCATCATCCCCATTTTATCCATCACCCCTCGAAAATGTACGAAATTAAATGTAAAATACTCTCTATAAAATCGTTATTGCTCAAACAGACCATAATTTTTATAGCCTCCAATTTTGTTTGGTTACAGAGCTATCAAATAGAAAATTAGACCCCTCCTGCCACACCCACCTGTCACATCCTCTCTTTCACAATGTTTCATTATATATTATTTATAACCAATAGAAAGTCAAGGTTTTCATCTATCAAATGGCATATTGTATAACATTGTGTTCTGAACAGATAATCATCAATTTCACTCTGAGTAGCAACATCGTTCATATGGGAAAGTTAACGACTAGCTTAGATGAATTTTTTAGAAGTGAATTTGTCTATATTTTGCATGTTATTAGTCTATATTCTTTGGTGTATTATTTCATTACATAAAAATTATTAAGTGCATTAATATTCGTACTATAAAAAAATTAGGCTTAACTGTCTTCAACAATCAAGGGCAAGAAAAAAGAAGATTGGGTAAGTACTTTATTTCCTGTTTTCCATATTTATTCTTTATTTATTATTATAAAAGTAACTAAAATTAAAAGTACGGATCTTGTTAATTTATTTAAGACTAGAATAGGTAAAATAAGTAATAATAATATAATAAAATTGTTCACAAAGCACACACACGAGCAGCTCGTGGGTAATGTAATTCGATAGCACAACGTTGAGCTGCACGTTCCCCGAGTGATTTACAACTTTTAATGGCATGGATAGCAGTTAGACATGGTTCAAAGGGCAATAAAACAATTTAATTATAAATAGACATATGATGTTACGAACTTAGAGCTACTTAGGATAAACAAATGTAGTTTCATGTTACACTTTGAAGTCATATTACAAAGAAAAGAA